TTGCACAACCAAAACATCGCTTAAAATAGAATCGTCGATCCAGGCGCATATCTGTCAAAAGTTTGCAGCTTTCAGGTCATCTAAGTTATCTGATCACTGAAGATGAGATTATCCTAGTCTTCGCTGTATTTGCTAACAAACTAAATGGAGAGGTATGCTTAAGTAACCAGGCTTCATGTAACATTTGAAGCTCCATTAGAGCATTAAAATGGTTTTCTAATCAGCAACAACAAGTCGTTGCAGCTGCCCTTTGTAACGGTTGTTGATGTATGTTAAGTTATTTGCACGGCTTATGAAGCTGAAGCATATTTATTTGGATAATAATAATAGTTCAATAAGCAACTTACCCTATTATTTACCTCCAGCTCTTAGACTACATGAGATCAATGGTTAGATTTTTTTAGATTGTCTCTTAGTGCTGATAATGACTATATACATATATGTATGTGAATACTTTATGAGATTGGATATGTTTAGTGGGAAAATCCAACCTGATATAATCTTTGTAAATAACCTTTAAAGACTCGACAAAAAATCTATTAACGAATGTTACCAAGCGCAAATATTATGTAAATTGTAAAAAATACGTAACTATTACTAAGAAAATAAAATAGAATTCAAAATATTCTAAAATTGAAATTCCTCTAATGTTAATATTTGAAATTATTAACTGTTAATTTTTGTTCCTTGTATCAAATTTACCAAATCATATTTTTAATACAAACTGTACTTTGACAAAGCTATTCATTTATGTTAATATTCTCAAGCATTGTCGTTTTGTATCGCATTAATTAGAATTAATTTGTTTTTGTAAAAAATATATTTCAAAGCTAATCTTTTAAAAAAGCATCTTTAATCTTAACGACTGGTTTTGGTAAATTATTTATTAATAACTTTGAAAAGTTGTTGGAACTAAGAATTGAGATTATTGCAACACAAAACAAGAAGATGGCCAAATGATGTTGCCGACTTTTATTGCACTGTCTATGAAAGGATAGCAAAGAATAATATAAAAAATAAAACAGAAAACGAGTCCAGAAACCATTTCGAGCACAATCAGCTTAATCATAAATTAAGAATAAATTTGTGGCCAACACAGTCGCCCGCTCCACAGTCCTCAGATAAATTAGTCAAAGCGACACGCCATAAAGCATTTGTTGAACCCATAAATCCCCACGGACGGTGGCGGTGGCGGTGGCGGTGGCGGTTGTCGTTGTCGTTGTTAGCCACCGTCCCGCCGCCGTCCGGCCGAGGCCTGATCCGCGCATTAACATATTAATGTTTTGGCTAGCTGGTGGATCGACTCGGTAGTTGGCGGCTTTGGGGCACTGATCTAGCCGCCAACGCTGAATCGCCGAATCGCTGACTCGTAGATCGGCGGCTTTTGGCGCTGATTTGGAGCCAATGGAGCATTTAAAGCGACATTTGTCCGCTGTGGCCATAACTCATGTGTAGCTCGAGTAGTCAGCGCCATCGCCTGTGTGCCTGACCAGCTCACACGCTCTGCGCTTTGCCCTGGTGGCGATCGGCCACATTTGCCGCGCCATTTGAGCTGGTCGGGAGCTGGCGCACTGGTGTTGCCAACCATTCGAAAAACTGTTGATTTGGGTCACAATTAATTGGCTCTCGAGCGCCATAAATATAGCCTCGAACGTGGTAATCACAACAAAGGGCACAGCCGCAGCTGTGACCTCCCCACGGGCACACGCTTAATTCAAGCGGGTGTGCGGATAATTATCATATCGCCCCGGTATTTGGCTTAAAGAAACCTGTTGCTCCAGCCAATACTGGCATGGACGGTGGGAATGTAAAATACATTACGCATGTACAACAGGAACTAAGCATAACTGCTAAGGAACTTTATTTTTGGACTATTGAAATACAGAATACAGTGAAACACTACCATAAGATACACCTATTGGGGACAAATCTCTTGAGCGGACATTATCTTTAACAACCTAACGAGCAAACACTTCGAGTCCCAGGCTAGAGTCTTTTGTACTTAATATCAACAATATTTTATTTATTTTCATGTTTTCATACCCTTGTAGAGGCTGTTATATAATTGTCATGAAATTTGTTACGTTTAGGAGAAGACATCTTCGATCTGTATTGAAACTTTTCTTGGGTCCGTAGTCATAGCAATATTTTCATGTACCTCATCATTTTTTACTATTCTCACATATCAGCAAAAGGGAAATATATTCAGCGTTCAAGCTTCAGCACTTTTTAAGCTCCTTAGATAAATTAGCGGGCCCAATCCTCGAAAGCCCAATGAAGGTTTGCTTTGCCTTACAAGTAACTTATAATCTCGTATCTAACTAAATTCTGAGGTAAATCATAAAATTGAATGATAACATACGATTAGGAAGTCTAGTAGACAGACACAGATTTGGGACCATTAACATTGACTTTATAACAGGCCAATTTATCGTCATGGCGAACGTTAATTTAAAGCCATGCCACATCCGAGATCAGAGAGTTCTGCTGTTTGTGTTTATCTTAAACATAAGGATAATGTAATTTAATCCCTTCCAGCTAAGAGGCCAGCACCTCTTCTACTCCGTACTTCAGTCATTTGCGAATCTGTCTGCGGATTGGCTGCAAGCGTACGGTGGATGCGGATTAAGGATACGGCAGCGGCGCAGAAGGGATAATTCGCCAACCGACAATGCTGCGACAAAGGTGTTTTGTTTTTATGACTTTGTAACTCCTTTGCCCGGTAGACGGTCGTCCTAAGGCGGCTGTGTTTGCTCGTGCTTGCGAAAGGATAATTTTACGATCGTTATTCGCGCAGAGGCAGGTACCGTGCCCGGCTAAGTGGACACAATAGAACGCCTATTCGCACTGCAAATCCGACGATGGCCAAACGAATGACCAGTTCTGCACAATTGTTTTGACAAAGGCGGGCTTTATTTTGACTATTTAAAGGATTACGCTAAAGGATTGACTTTGCAACCTTGACTGCAGCCTCGTCTGCATCGTCAGACGCTAACGCCCACAATGAAGTTTTCCGCGAATCTTTAGATACTTGCTTAGGTCGCCTTGCCAAATCGTCCGACTGCGGGTTTTATGGTTCGCGAATGAGTTAAAAGCGACCTTTGGGTTTTCAATAAAACGGAAAGCAAATGAAAAGGCTTTACTTCCCCGAAGGACGTCGAAGAGTTAACGTAACTCTTTCGCAACTTGCACGTAAACCTTTTACCACTCACGAAGAAGTTGTAAAAGTCTGAACAATCCACAAAACTGACTCTTGGCAAATTTCTAAAAAAAAGTTTAAGACAATAGCTTCAGACTTAATGTTAGACAAGAATCTAGGTAAATATTAAATTTTTTATTTTAGACAGGAATTAAGATAAATATTTATTTTTTCAGTAACTCGTAGAAGTGTTTTGGTGCAAAACATAAATGGAAATTAGGAAGATGGGTGGATTTGTAATGCCTAGGGAATTTAATTTTTAATTACTATTCAAATGCCTAAAGAAAGTATTATGATCACTACAAAGTCTTATAAAACAAAATTGATTTTAATTTATTTTACCTTTAGAAAAAATACCATTTTATATTTTATTTTTCTTATGAACCTTAAAGGCAAAAACTAATCGACATTAGATTGCCAAAAACTTATTTTATTGAATATTGTTTTATTGCTTCTAACATTCTAAAAAACAAAAATTTCAATTCAATTATGATCAACGTAAACTCACTAATCACAATCTTCATTATTCTAATACCACTCTTGCGAACCTTTTGTAATTCGATTACTATGTTACATCATATCATTCAACTGCCATGGAAATTATCTGCCTAAAGTTAGTGTAATATGGCAACGTTTCTTCTCATTTCGTATATATCGACTTATTTTGAAAAAAATTAAGTTACATTTTTAATGAAATAAACGGTGATGTCGAATCGGTAAAAACCTGGATTTGTAGACCATTTTCATTCATAGGGAATATTTTGCTTCTACTCTAAACTTCTTTGTCAGAGCTGTACCAATGTAAATGAGGAATACGTTTTTGGTCAGTTTTTGGTAGATCGATTCTACATCTGAACGCTCGTGTAAGGTTATCCCTGGCTAACTTGCCAGCTACCCATAGTTGCTGCTACCCACTGTCCACTTTGATCTAATGAGTCGTATAAATGCCGCCCGGCAACTGCGACGGCACATGGTTCCTCGGTTGCGTTACCGATAACTGTCAAGGAGAGCAATGAAAAATGACCAGTCAATGTCTCACTTCAATAGATGAGCAAACAGCGAAAGGCGCTTCCTCTTGCTGGCGGTGGTGGTGGTTGGCAGCCAATTCCTGACTGAAAAACACCCAAACCGACCAAAATGTGACATTTTTCCATTGCGAAAATAGTGCATTTTATAGAAAAGTAGTCAACGACAGAGCGAGGGGAGCACCAAATTGCAGCTGCTCAAATTTAGAGTTGATATCAGAAACGTTTGTCTACTGGCTTAAGCGTGACAATTTCGGGTTGTTTCGAAGGGTTCCTAATGATCCAAAATTCCAACAAAGAAATTTGTCTAACAATTAATGGAGCCAACGACAAAAATCGACAAAAATTGATTAAGCATCAAAATAGCTAAAAATGGATTGTATGTATACAATGTTTTTTTTAATTATAAATTGTGTATTTAAGAATTTTCGGAAATTGAGAAAATTTAAATTAAAATAATAGAAATTTACTAAAATATATTAAATATAAAGGACAGTGTAGGATAAAAATGATTGATCTTTATTAATTTGCTATATAATTTGGACTTGAAGAAATCGTACACACATTAGACACAAATAAAAATTAAATAAATCAACTATTATTTATTTAATCAAAATTTATCTTTTTCCTTTCGCTTCACAATGGTATAATTAAATTATTTAGAAATTAATAATTGATCAATTTCAAAGTGATCTCTATATATTTTCTTAAGACAAACAAATATTTAATTATTTGAGTATTTAGAAACAGAGAACTTGTAAGAAAAACGCGCAGTCTTTTTGATAAATTCGATCAAGTACAAGTATTTTGAATATATATATTTAAATAAATATGACTAATGTAATCGATGTATATATATAAACTGTACAATAGAAACAAAAAGTTAATCAGTCTCCAAGTTGAGCTTGTGTTGCATTATCGATGCCCGGCCACAGTCCCTGGGCTCGATGATAATCGAGCGCTCCAGGCAACAGACAACGGGTAACCCATGGCCAGCCACTGGGTTTTGAGGTATCAGAGGTTGTCGAGGAGTCGTTTCGGCCTCGGTCTCGGTCTCGGCCTCGGCCTATGCACATGCGCACTCGTCCTATGCTTGTGTCCTGGGCACCGTAGGGAGTGCGCGGTGCGGCGACTGCGACTGCGCAGCATCTCGTTATACATTTGCGTGTCACCGGCAAATGGTCGAGAATTGGTGGCGCATTTGTTTCGGTTGTGTGTGTGTGTGTGTGTCTCAGTGTGTGTGCTTCTGTGTGTGTGCGTGCGGGCTGACTTAGGGCAGCGGCAGATGATACAGCGCCTGGTTGGAGGTGCTCAGCTCCTGCTGTTGCTGTTGCTGTTGTTGTTGGTAGGTGCACTGCTGCTGCGTCTGTTGATGATATTGCGGTGTGTACTGCGCTTCGTACTGTTGGCCAAAGTGCGGCGGCAGTGGCAGCGGCGGCGACTGCTGCGGGTAATCATAGCTCTGCTGTGTGGCGGGCAAGTAAGCGGGATAGGCGGCATAGGGCATGGCAGCAGCCTGTGGATGCGACTGTGGCTGTGGCTGTGGCGGCACAGTGGTGGCATCCAGTGGCGGCAACAGCGAACCGTAGCCGGTGTTGGTGCAATGCTCGGGCGAGGCTTCCAGAGTGCGATCCTTTTTGGATTTCATGCGTCGATTCTGGAACCAGATCTTGATCTGCCGCTCACTCAGGTTGAGCGCATGGGCAATGTCCATGCGGCGGCGGCGTGTGATATATCGATTGAAGTGGAATTCCTTCTCCAGCTCGAGCGTCTGGTAGCGGGAGTAGGTTTGCCTAGTGCGTTTGGAGTCTTTGCAATCTGCAAAAAGTCAGAGATAAGAAGCAGAAAGTAAGTACGAGAGTTGCAAAATGAGGGAGAGTGTGTGACTGAGAGAGTGTGAGAGTGAGTGAGAGTGAGAGGTTGGTGGGAGTGCGATGCCTACCTGATGCGAGAGTCTCCTCAATGTGCGACCAATTAAATTCGTTGTTGCCCGTGGCAGCTGTCACAATGCGATGATTGATTTCATGCGACTTCTCGGCCGGCGACTGGGGTGGCGTGCTGATGCCAATCCCATCGACCAGGGAGGCGGGCGTCGCGGGCGTGGTGGCAGCCGGCGGCGGGGTAATAAAGTCGCCATGCTTGGCCTGCTTGTGCGGCGAGTAGACGTCCAGATAGTCTACATCCTCGCTGGTGCTGCGCTGCGGCGACATGTGCGTCTGCTGTGTGGAGGGCGTGGGCACGGCATAGTCCTGCTCATAGCAGGGCGACAGCTCGCCGGCGGAGCTGCTCTTGCTGGGCTTCTTCACGGGCTCTATTGTCGTGTAAAAATAATCGGGCGTGTATTTTAGTTTCTTCACGGGATTGGTGAGCAGGGCGCGCAGTGTGCTGGGTCGCTCCTCCACGGCAGCAATGATCTCGGCAGCAGATTCCTCCGCCTTGCGCTTGCGGCTCTTGACGGGCGCGGGCGAGTTGGCTTTGGTGAAGGGCTCAGCGACTGCTGTCGGATGGTACTGAGGCACTGCAGCGGGTTCGGGCTGTGGCAGGGTAGTCTGCTGGTAGTTGGCGTAGTAGCAGCTCTCGCTGTAGCTCTCCGGGCCGTACTGCACGTAGCTGCCGGCCTGGTAGTTCGCCGGCTGCCAGCTGGCTGTGGAAGCCATGGAGTTGCTCTGGTAATAGCTGCTGCTGCCGCTGCTGGTGTTATCGTAGTATGTGGGTGGCAGGGCGTGATGGTACATGTTGTACATGCTGTCAGCATAGTAGCTGTGGCTGTGCGTATTGGTGGCTGCCATTGTGTCTGTGTCTTATGTCCTCTGAGCGGAATGAACGATGTTTGCGCGGCGCTGCTGCGTTTGCGAATGAGCTGCTATGCTCTCTGATCCTGCCTTAATATAGGCAGAGTCGTGGAACTGCGGACTGCGGACTGCGAACGGCACACGCGCTCCTCGTCATAGCGCATAAATATCCCTGCGCATGACACTTTGACACATGCTGCGCGTACTACCCCTCCGGCCAGGACCTAGCCAGATTTATTGCTGGCAGGGGTAGGGCAGCGCTTATCCGGCCGGGCAACGTTTTATCCGACCGAGTGGCGAATTCTCATGGCCGGCCTACCTGCTGCGCAGCTTATTACCTACCCATCGCGCCCATTATCATCGCGAGTTGCAGCAAGTTATCCGTGCTCGAGCATTTCCCCTGCGCGGGCCGTGTCCTTGAGTTGCCTTGAGACGTGCGCAGGACGTCCCACGGGCGCGTAATTAAGTCGAGCCTCGGGTAGGTGGGTGAGCGGGATGGCTGATGTTTTGCTGCTTTCTTCTAATTGCAATAATCATAAAGACATAAACAGAACTGTAAACTGTAAACGTTTGCTAAAACGGTTGGCACAAAAGGCTTTTCCTTTTGGCCCGTTTATTGTCGCCGCGCGGCAGCAGCAAATTCGTAAAAATTTCTCCGGCCTGCAACGTAGCGAAGCTGCTGCCATTCGTTCTAGGAATCGTCAAGGTATTCGCTTCAGCGCGGGTAGCTTAGCTTGATAGAAGCCTTAGAGTAGAGTTGGAACTGGTTACGTGTATCAAGGCAAGGGCGGGAAGGCTGTGAAAGGATAATATTGCGCGTGCTCCTTACCCATTTCCAATCCCATTCTGGCAGCCCGTTGCCATCTTCAGTGATCCTTTGTTGCGTCGCGTGTTGCGCTTTTTGTTTGCTCGCGAGGGTTTCCTTGCGGCCTGGGCAAGTGCCCTCGAGGACTCTTGCGCATATTTGCATAGCTGACCCGTAAGCCGCTCTGCTAAATTGACTGGCCAAAAGGCGAGTTTACACGACTTTGTTATCCGCTTAGCCAGCAACAGTGCAACCAGCACAGGCAGTGGCCGGGGCAGCTACAGCCACCCCCGACTCTGATCTAAGGCCCACCCTCCGCACCCTTATCAACCGATATCTATAAATTGACTGGCATATGTGTGCAGTTTGTGCATGTGCGAATTGTGCGGCTACCCCCGGCCCCTGCCCATGCCCCTGCCCAAGCTACGCTCAGCTCCGCTCGCCTTCGGCATTTGCTTTACCTCTCCCATTGTTATTGTTGCTGCAGAGCGCACGTTCGGTGACAGCCGGGCCAAAATTTATGGCGTTTTTCAGTTTGACAGGCCGCTGCTCGGGCGAGCGCGACCCACGACCCACGACAACCCACTTTCTAGCGCTCAGGACCCTGCTATAAACACTTTCGACTCTATAGATAGGGCATCGATGTTTGCAACAATACTCGAATAAGTTGTGCGGTATTCATGTGAGTTGCGAAAGGAAATTGGTAAAGAATATATCGGCCATGTTGATTTTCTTACAATTAAATTCAACTATATTTTTTAGATATTGTTTCGGAAAGATAATTAAGAGATTTGAGCTATATCTAATAAAACTTGACGTAGGTCTATATTTTGGTGCAGGCAGTATACTGAAATGTCGGTGTCGTGTGGAACAGATTTCTACTTCACATAGTCAAAAATAAAGCTTCTTATTACCTTTTTAAAATAACTTGACAAGACTGCTTTGAATCCCTAAGCATGTCTTGGGGAAGTAAATTAATAAAATATATTATTAATTTTTTAAAAGAGATTTTTTAAAAACAATGTAAAAATTAAAACAACCTATTTAATTTTAAAAATAATACACTTTTTAAATATTAATATAAACAGTGTGAAAATTATCTCAAGAAATATTTCTGTGACAGAAAGATGACAGATTATTAACCGTTTTCTGATTTATAAATACTTCATATCACCTAAATAAATAATATACTTAGTCTACATAAAAACATAAATTTGAAGGCTCGCATCATCAAAATTCATTTAAAATTAACTGTGTGTAAAATTTAAAAGATTTTGCACAGTTAAATCTGCCCATCTGCTAGCTTTTCATGTGGGTTTAGTAAATCTCTTTGAGCAATTCGTCAGTTTGTCAAATGACTTGACCAAATCTTCGTTCGTTTCCCATATTTTATTTTATTTTCGTATCAGGTGCAGTTTAAATTTGTAGCCACCGCAGACACTCAACGTTTTGTTTCTGGGCGATTGACTTTTATCACTCAACTGATTAGATAATCGCAATGAAATACTTGGAAAAACGCAACGAAATGCTGCTAAATCCGATTGCGAGCCGTAGTCAACTTTTGGCAACAATAATTGAGTTGTAAGGCCCACATGCGAGTGTTCCAACCACAACACACCCCGTAGCCAGGGGACGAGCGTTTCGTGCGTTTTTATTGCCGAATTAATAAATTACCTTGACAGTGGAATCGGGACCATCCCATTGTGTGTGTGTGTGTGTGTATGTACCCCATCCTGCCCGCTGCCCGCTGCAGTCCGACGGCACATCCCCTTTCCCTGCACTTTCATGAGGGTTAGCACAGTCGAGATCCGGCATATAATCTGGACATTGGGTACATATATATATATATACACGTAAAGGAAAGGTAAGACAGGCACGCGCCTGAAGTAGGCGAATGTGTTAATACCCAGCGATGTGCCGTTAATATCATCAGCTGCGCCCAGGGATATTGTAATAATTATCATATAATACTACAGATAATGAAGAAATATCGAGCTCTTAGGTGTACAATTCCGATAAAGAGTTCACATGAATTCTTAAAAAAAAAAACACTTCAAAGGATTTCACATAATATTACAAATTGGCATTGGAAATCTGTTTGCGCCCCTCTCTGTTGGAGCATTACATAAGTATCGCTTAAGATACTCCAAATCGTGCGATTGTTTGTTTGTTTATTTGTCTGGCTTCGTTTACTCGGCCGAGGGTCACATGCTGTGGCTTTGAAGTTGAATTTTGCTGCTTGGCCCTCCTCTGGGAGTCGTAGATAGTTCAGTGCTCATTACGCCGTCCCCAAATGCTAATTGTGCGGCAACAACAACAACAACAACAATAACTACAACAATCGACAACATCGCCACTCATTATCAGACCGAAACATGCGGCGTCAAGCTGCGTATAAAACGAAAATAGAAATAGAAATAGAAAAATTATCAGCAGCAACAACAAAACAAACAACACGAAGAAAAAGCTATCTTCGTGCTACCGAAAATGTAATACCCTCACTGAAGTGCCATTCTTCATACGACTTTGTATTCAACAGATATGCAAACATTATGATACATTCATAGTTTTTAGACAGATGTTAAGTTGGGAATAGCACGATTTATTATTGCAAAGTTTTATTAAGATTTCATCAACAACATACACTATAATTAAAAATGTTTTATACAGACCTGACTCCTGAGATACGACTAGATACTGCCTACAGCAAAACGAAGCATCTGTGTAAAGTTTAATTTAATTTAATATTTTTAATATAAAGAATTTATGTATAGACTGCTGCTGCTCCGATGTTATCTTCAAAGCGTTAGTTTGTGAAATCATGGGAATACCCTATGTAAGGGCATTAAAATATATGCTTATTTAGGTGTTGTACATTTAAGGAGTCAGATTTATATATAGTATAAGCGTCAGAGCGTCTAATCTGAGCACAGCGTGAGCTTTTCGCCGTATAACGAATCGAATCCCAATCGAAAAACTTGGACCAATCGCAACCCGTTGAAATGCCATCAATTTGATTGCCTCAATCGACGGCTAATTTGTGAAAAGAGAGGGAAAATTATTTTTTTCTTAAAATTTGTTTGATTTAGCAATTAAGATGCACACGTCTCGATTTGGGCTGTGAATATTCATTTATATTCAGGCCCAGGCGCTGCAGGTGTTAGCCAGCAACGCTCCCTGCCAGATGAAGTAATTTTCAGCTTTGGCTACTCGTTTGCCTGGGCTGCTGCCACATTTGGCATGCCTCATTCGGCTTCAGGACAATTTCACTGGCCTTGATCCAAAGTCCTGTCGAGGTCACTCGCTTCGATGCTGAATGAGCGAATAGGAAAAGCCAGCGTGGGTGTGCTGGCCTTGGATAATCACGATCGGAGCACGGCACCAATCAAAGTCAAGGCAACTGCCAAGGACCTCTCGGCTGTGCTCCTTATTATGCTGTGTGTACAAACATTCTCTCAATGCGTCACGCGTCGCCTTCGTCATTGGCTCATCGTTGCTGTCGTCGTCGTCGTCGGCTTCTGTTCTCTTTATTTGGCTGTCGTTAGGATATTTGCGCTCAATGTCATCCTGCCTGCATTGTCATCCTCCGTGTTGACATTTCCTTAGCGCATTAATTGCTTCTGTCACACTTATTCGCATTGTTTCGCTCTCAGCGTAATGAGGTCTTCGTAAAGTAGCTGCAATGGAATGAATTATGCATTTACAGTGAGCTCTCGCTTTGTACTTTTTTATGACCCTAAATAAATTGTGTGACAATCAATCGACAGTGTTAACACCTTCTGTGTGGCAATGGGCTTATATTAGCAATATATTGATATGCGCAAAAATTACAGATTTATTGTTTTAAATTACTTTATAAAATTTAATATTTATTATTATTGGCATACTTTTCTGAAGCATACTTAAATATTGTTAGTACAGATGTAATTCGTAGGACCTTACTCTACTGCCTGCCAGGAATTATAAATTATTTATGAAATGCTTAAAGCTTATAAAAACAAGACTAGTTTCATGATTAGAATCAACCGTCTGTTGTATCACGAAGAATCTTTAAATAGAAAGAGTATTCATATTTTAAGAAACTTTATTGTATGGAATTATGCATTATGAGCATAATGCAATGGTTCGCTCTGCAAGGGTACTAAATCTACGGCGTGCCAGAGATAGCATTTTTTCGTTTCTAGATGCATATGCTCTCGCAGAACTGGATAATGTTGTCATATAGTAACATACTATACTAAACAATTTAATTAATTTATTATTATATTTTCTTTTTCAAACGCACAACATTAACTCATACTAGACTATCATAT